TTAATCGTATTTTGAGTATTAGTTATATTATTTTGTACTTAATATTATATTTACCTGTGTAGGAATAAAGCAGTGTGAAGATCAAGAGATTTGGAGCAAAATCGAATAAAACGCGAAAGAAAAAGAAAGAAAACTAAATGAATATAAAAAGGGGGGGACACCCTTTGGTCTTTGTCCCCCCAAGTGGAAAACAAAGGAAAATGAAACAATTCTCAAAGGCAAACCAAGGAGTTGTGTACAGATTTTAAGAATTGAAACGCTACTGCTTTCAGCGCCAGGACCAGCGCTTGGTGCTGGCCTGGACGCTGGGTACGTGATTTTTCCTTCTTCGTCCGGGACAAGGTTATTCCGGCCCTACACGGTCCCAACTCGTATATAAGGAGTCCTAAACCTATTTTGGGGGGGGGGGGGGGGGGGAGGGACGCCACTTTGGAGATATCTAACATACTTTGAAAGGGAATTCACGTGGAGGAACACACACCACGTTTGGAGGAGGCTTCTAACTAGTTTTTCTTCTCTTCTCTTCCTTTAATTTCATAGTTTTCTAGTTCTAGAGTTGTTGGGTGCTACATGAACGTTATAGTGTGAAGCTTGAATTGTTCTTATTCTTTTATCATATTGGTTTATTTACTCAATCTTGCGCTTAATTAATTGATTGCTTGATCACCAATTGAATACTATCTATGAATCTAGGATTGAATTCGGGAGAGGGAATTCTAGATTGCATATAAGATTGAGTAGAGCAAGATCTTAACTCTGGGGGGTGGGGGGATTTGCGGTTAGGATAGGAATATACCTAATCGCCTTGCTTGGTTATTATACGGGAATTATAAATGCGTTCTTGTTAATTCTAATTCCATAGGAATATAGGCGTTAGGTTAGCTTGAATAGGCGAGTTGTACTTCGGGAGAAGGCTACGAGTAATATTAACCCTGTCAACCAATAAACCAGATAAATTAATTAGACGATTTAAGTGGAAAACTCAACGGGATTGTTAGCTAACCCATAGCTCTAGAATATTCGCTCACATTGAATTTGTCTTTAAGCTTATCGTTGTTTTCTTTAATCTCTTAATTTGTTACTCTAGATTAATTTTAGTTAAATATTCATACGTTAGAGTTCGCTTGAATAGATTAATTGTTTGGTTTGATTTAGTTGATAGTTAATCACAAGTCTCTGTGGGTACGATATCTGGACTTACAATCCTATATTACTTGTCGACCACGTATACTTGCGTGTGCGTTTGGGAGCAACAAGTTTTTGTGGCGCCATTGCCGGGGGGCAGTCCTAGAAAGTTTTTTTTTTTTTAATTTTTTTTCATTTTCTTCTATTATTTTCTAACCCTTACCCATTTAACCCAACCCGATTACCCATCTACACTAACACTCTAATCCATCCTAATACCCATATCCTTTCTCAACCCAACTTAACCATAACCAAAACCCACCCAAACACAAACAACCAACATCAAACCAGAAGAAACAAAAAGGGGCACGCTGAAAATACCACTGCTTCTGCTCGTTTTCTTCTCTTCTTCCTCACACAAGTTCTCAAAGTTTTTCTTTTGCCCCCCCCCCCCCCTACACTCTCCAGGTAAGTTATTCTCTCTTCTTCTTCTTCTCTTTCTTGTTTATATGTTGAATTCTTAGTCATCCCATTCCCAAGAGCCCTAATCCCCAATATTTTTTCCTATGTAGTTCTTATGAAATTTGTATGGTGGGTGACATGTGTGGGTCGCAAATTGTGTGGTTATTGTGTATACGGCATAGTAAACTAGAATTCCCTCTACTTCGTTAAAAATTGGGAGGGCATTCATATTCCACCATCGTTGAACTAGAAGCACCCACTTTATGCCCGCAATGTGTTTGTTAAAATGCTTGAATGAGGATTTTGGTGCACCGGTGAAGTCTGAGTAACCGGATCTATTTGTGTATGAATTTGGGCTAAGTGTGGGGTGTGTAGGGATGCTTTTACATGCTAGGGGTGTGGCTTTGATGCAATACATGTTCCTACACCATCTATTTTATATAATGTATGTTGTAGAATCTTGTAAATGACTAATTTAGTATAGTCTATGAGTTGTTAAAGGTGCATACCATATGCCTCGTGCTTACCTTAATGTGAATTCGCGTAGTTATGATCAATCATTATTGTATGGCATTGAGAAGTCTTGAGTACCCATAGCTTAAGGGTGCAACACTTGTACATGTTGAAAAATAATATAAACATAAAAAATAGTGACATAGTGTACATTGTGCCTTCGGTTTTAAGTGTGGGGTCATTTCATAACTTGCACAACAACCTTAGGCATATTTCTTGCAATGTTCTCACAGTTGTGCTTATTTGTGTTGCAGGATATTATGGCTCGTAATGGTTCTAGCAAAGGCAAAGGCATTGGAAAGTCCTCCACCACCTCTCCTGCGCCCAAAAAGCGCAAGCAGGGAGAAAGCTCTTCACGGTAGTCTAAAGGAAAGCAGGTCGCCGAGGGATCTCAGCAGGCGCCATTAAGGCCGAGGCCTCGTTTGGATTTGGTTGATGCTGCAGCTATTGCATGGCACAGGGACTTCGTGCCATCTGGTCGGTACATTTCTGAGATGGGGATTAATACGACAGCCTTAGAAAGAAACTTTCCGGAGGTACTTGGCAGGCTGCAAGCTCTAAATATGCACAAGTTCTTGGAATGCCCGGGGCCTGCAAACCTGAGCATGGTTCGAGAGCTGTATGCTAACTGGGATTATCAATTGGACACTTCACGTGTAAGAGGGAAGGATGTTCCGATGGATAGAGAGTCTTTATGCAAATATTTGGGGGGTGATATTGCTAACCCAAGGAGACTCCAACGATTTATCAGAAGCCCGAAATATGAATTGATACGTCACACTCTTTGTGGCGTGGATTCCAATGCTAAGTGGATAAGGAAGCAGGGCAACATTACCTTTCTATGGTCCGCTCCGACTTCAACAAAGCTGCCAATTTGTGGAAAAATTTTGTGCAATCGAGACTCATGCCGGCGGAGCACAGCAGCGACTGCACTAGCGCTAGAGTGTGTCTCATTTTCTTCTTGATGATCGGTCGACCCATTAATGTGGCTGCGATCATGCTCAGTGAGATGGCCCTCACGAGGTTTGGGCGACAGATTAGGCAGTTCTTCTTCGGCAATTTACTTATTCAGTATATGCTATTTCGAGGAGTGCCGGAGTACCCCGGACATGATGAGGTGGTGGAGGCTCCGTCAGGGCTATGGACATCACATCTCTATTGGAGACATCGTCAAGACTCACCCCCGCAGCCCGGATAGAGCAAGAAGAGAACTTCAATAGGTACCTTTATAACTCGATGAACTTATTCATGAGCAGGGCAGGTATTACAGACGAGGAGCGTATGCAATTACGCAATGATTTGTCTAGCACGTCCAAGGAGATGTTGGGGATTTCACCTGGAAGTCCCGTTCGCTCGTCGAAGGACATCAACTTTGTTAAGGGCTCGGACACTAAGGATGAGGATGGGAATGGTACTACGGGGCACATGGCTTTGGTGCCTCTAGATCCGGATGATGATGAGCCCAGAGCTGCTGGTGGAGGGCATGCTGCGGAGGTGGACTCCGACTGACAGGGAGTTTTTCTTTTCACCCTACTCTATTTTTCATTTTAACTTGCATCGAGGGCTATGCATAGTTTAAGTGTGGGGTGGGAGGAATACTACCTGTGTTGTAGTTGTATATCTTGTGTTAACTTGTTTTCATTTGTTTCTTTTAGTAGTTCTAGCGTAGTTAATCTAGTATAGTTTGGTTGCTTTAAACCAAATGAAAAAAAAATAGAAAAATACAAAGAAATTTTTTTTTTGAAAAAGCTCGGACTTTTCCCGACGATGGATCTTTTGGACAATTTTCTTGAGGGATAAAAGTCCGATTTAAAAACACCAAAAAGATTTTTTTGTTTTTAGAATAGCTAGGTAGTATTCCTTGGTTTTTCTTTGGGTACCGGTTCTTTTCCAAGGATGTAGCTCGAACCGGGTACTTTATTTTTTTTAGGATTAGTTTAGGAAAAAACTGAGTCGCTCTGAGATACTCATTGACATGGTTGATGCTGGCACATTAGGCTAGGATATAAATTCTATTTTCCCGTGTATTTGGTTTGAATTGTGAAGCCTAAGTAATGTGAATAGTCTATTTTGTGACGCTCTCTCTAAGTTGTTTGACTTGTATGCCACATAGTACAATGTTGCTTAAATTCCTCAATTATGTGTGCTTGCTTGACTTGAGAGTTGAACAGAACTGTCTTGATTGAGTCATGTGCAACGTGTGTGTGAGGATTTGTGATTTTCTGTGCTATCCTATGTATCTCCTTCCTCTTGATCCTGAAATTGAATGGACACTTCACAGAGTGATGAGGGAGGTCGAAGCTAGAACTAGAGTAGAAAGAGAGTTGGACATCGTAGTTCAACCACAGCCAATAGAGATGGCAAGTAATGCAGAGCATGCAGTGATAGAAGCCGCAAGGCCCAGTCTTGCAAATATGACTCAGGCTATTCTGAAGCCTGAGATCACAGGGCATTTTGAACTCAAATAGTACATTGTATAGCTGATTCAGTCCACAGGGCAGTATGTGGGTCTATCTCATGAAGATCCGCAGAGGCACATTCAGAATTTCTTGGAAATTATGGATACCTGCAATTATCCGAACGTTTCCAAGGACTATGTCAGGCTGACACTTTTTCCCTTTTCACTGTTGGGGGAAGCTAAGGAATGGTCGCAGAAAGAGCCCGCGAACTCAATCCACACTTGGGATGATCTAGCAAGGAAATTATTAATCAAGTTTTTCCCCACCAAGAAGACAAAGTCATTGAGGAGTCAGATTCTTGGGTTCGAATAACGGGATGGCGAGACACTTCGTCAAGCCTGGGAAAGATACAAGAAGCTACTCAGAGATTGCCCGCACCACTGTCAGACTGATGAGGTATTGGGACACACTTTTGTTGACGGGTTAGATGAAGCCTCAAAGATGAATCTTGATTCAGCTTGTGGGGGTAGTTGCATGGCGAAACCATATAGTGAAATCCAACTCTTGCTGAATAACTTCACTGCTAATGACCATAACTGGCAAGGAGATGGGGATTCACGCAAGGCAAGTAAACAGAAGGCAGCCGGGTTGATTGAGCTTGATGACTTCTCGGCCATGAGAGCTGATATAGCGAAATTGGCAAACCAGGTGAATAGAAGACAATGCAACAGACACAACAGATGCAACATGTACAATAGATGTCTCTTTGCTGCGAACTATGTGGTGACAATCATATGAGTGACATGTGCCCCACGAATCCAGAATCTATATACTATGTGGGACAACAGAGCAGGGGTCCAATGAATCAGAATGCACAATATGGGAACACTTATAACCTAAATTGGAAGAATCATCCCAACTTCTCATGGGGTGGAAATCAGCCGAATCAGAATTATTATAGACCCCAAGGAAATTTCAATCAACCTCAGAAGCCACCTCAACAGGTAAAAGAGAATGGGAATGATTTGTTGAAGCAGTTGTTGCTTGACAATCAACAGCTCAGGACCGATTTCAGAAATTCGGAGCGCCAAATGGGACAGCTTGCCAGTGCTCAAAACACTAGACCAGTTGGAGCTCTTCCAAGTGACACTAAAGCTAATGCTAAGGCATCCCTTAATGCCGTGTCGTTGAGGAATGGGAGACAATTAGAAGAGGTTCAGCCGAAAAAGAGCAAACAGGTGTCTTTTGAGGAGAGGCCAGCCACTATTGAATCAACATCAGAAAAATCTAAGGAGTCTGAGAAGCCAGCTAGAGAGGCGGTGGCTGAGCAACCCCCACCAGTGGTTGCAAGGCCACCACCTCCGTTCCCTCAAAGATTGCAGAAAGTAAAAGATAACGCAGCATATAAAAAGTTTCTTGATATTTTAAAGCAGGTGCAAATTAATATTCCATTGGTTTACATCTTATAAGAAGTGCCCAAATATGAAAAGTACATCAAGGACATAGTGGCAAATAAAAGGAGGCTGACCGAGTTCGAAACTGTGGCACTCACTGAGGAGTGTAGCTCAAAAATTCAAAGCAAGCTACCTCAGAAATTGAAGGACCCAAGTAGTTTCACTATCCAAATCTCGATTGGTAAACATGCAGTTGGGCGAGCCTTATGTGATCTTGGAGCGAGCATCAATTTGATGCCACTATCTGTGTTCAAACAATTGGGGTTGGGTGAGCCACGTCCAACAACGGTAGTCTTACAGCTGGCTGATCGCTCCCTTGCTCATCCTGAAGGAGTGATTGAAGATGTGCTTGTTCAAGTGGGGTCTTTCATATTTCCTGCTGATTTCATTATCCTGGACTACGAGCCCGATCATGAAGTCCCAATTTATTTTGGGGCATCCATTCTTAGCCACAGGCCGAGCTATTATTGATGTTTGCGAAGGAAAGATGACGATGAGAGTAGGTGATCGAGTGGAGGTATTCAATGTTTATAAAGCACTCAGGTTGCCAGCCCACTATGAAGAGTTATCCATGATCTCTGTGGTGGAGAGTGATGCCACATCGTTAGTGCCCTATATGAGCCATGTAGATCCTGTTGAACGAGTGTTGATTGGAGATGAAGAAGATAGTGAAGATGAAATGATGGGAGAAATTGAGCAAGTACTGGATATGTCCTGCAGTTATGTCCATGGGTTTGGAAAATTTGAGGAGTTGGACAGGCCTGTCACTCTGACCCCTCCTAAGCCATCTATTGAAGAAGCTCCGAAGCTAGAACTTAAGCCACTTCCAGCGCATCTGCGCTATGCTTATTTGGGGAACTCTGAGACATTGCTCGTTATTATTTCGTCCAGCTTGACCAACACTCAAGAAGAAAATTGCTCAGAGTACTCCGCGAGCATAAAAAGGCCATTGGGTGGACTATTGCTGACATCAAGAGAATTAGTCCATCGGATTACATGCATAAAATTTTCTTGAAAGATGGACACCGCCCTAGTGTGGAGCAGCAGAGGAGGTTAAATCCCATTATGAAAGAGGTGGTGAAAAAGGAAGTAATCAAGTTGCTCGATGCAGGTATCTTTTTTCCTATTTCTGACAGCAACTGGGTAAGCCCAGTTCAATGTGTACCCAAAAAGGGAGGAATGACTGTGATTGAGAATGAGAAGAATGAGCTAATTCCTACTCGCACTGTGACGGGGTGGAGAGTCTGCATTGATTATAGACGGCTCAACAAAGCAACCCGCAAGGACCACTTCCCACTTCCATTCATTGACCAAATGCTAGACAGATTAGCCGGGCATGAATATTATTGCTTCCTTAATGGTTATTTGGGATACAATCAGATTGTCATATGCCTAGAGGATCAGGAGAAGACCACCTTTGCTTGTCTTTATGGTACTTTTGACTTCAAGCGAATGCCGTTTGTTCTTTGTAACGCACCAGCCACTTTCCAGAGGTGCATGATGGCTATTTTCACCGACATGGTAGAAAAATTCGTGGAAGTGTTTATGGATGATTTTTCAGTTTTTGGGTCTTCTTATGATGATTTCTTGAGGAATTTAAGCAAGGTGTTGGCCCGTTGTGAAGAATCAAATCTAGTACTGAATTGGGAAAAATGCCATTTTATGGTACAAGAAGGAATCGTGTTGGGTCATAGAATATCTAGGGGCGGCATTGAAGTTGATAAGGCGAAGGTGGAGGCGGTTGATAAATTACCTCCACCTGTTTCAGTGAAGGTTGTCCGGATTTTCTTGGGACATGCGGGATTCTATCGGCGCTTTATTAAAGATTTTTCAAAAATTTCTACTCCTTTGTGCAGGCTGCTTGAAAAAGATGTAACTTTCCATTTTGATGATGCTTGCCTCAAGGCATTGAAGAACTCAAAAAGAAGTTGGTGTCTGCTCTCATTATTGTGGCACCTGATTGGTCCTTACCTTTTGAACTTATGTGTGATGCGAGTGACCATGCTATTGGGGCAGTGCTAGGCCAGTGGAAGGACAAGGTGTTTTATTCCATCTACTATGCGAGTAAGACTCTTGATGATGCACAGTTGAATTACACCACCACTGAGAAGGAGTTGTGTAACGACCCGACCGGTCATTTTAAACTTTTGCACTTTGATCACCAGTTCTCGGGCATGACTTGCCCCGTGTTATGTATTGTGACTAACGTAGATCGTTGGTTTTGGTTTTCAGGAAAAATTTGGAATGAATTTGAAAGATCAGTTTCAGTTGAAATCTTTGAATTTGAAAGGTTTGATCAAGAGTTGACTTATTTGTATATGAGCTCAGATCGGAGTTTTTATGATTTGGTTAGCTTCGTTAGGTGATTTGTGACTTAGGAGCGTGATCGGAATTGGTTTTGGAGGTTCGGTGTAGAATTAGGCTTGAATTGGCGAAATTAGTATTTTGGCGAATTTCGGTTGATAGGTGAGATTTTGATCCGAGGGTCGGAATGGAATTCCGAGAGTTGCTGTAGCTTCGTTATGTGATATGGGATGTGTGTGCAAAATTTCAGGACATTCGGAGGTGATTTGGTTGGGTTTTTGATCGAATGCGTATTTCGGAAGTTTTAGAAGAACTTAGGCTTGAATCCGATGTAATCTGATAGTTATGGTGTTGTTTGTGGTGTTTTGAGCAAGTTTGAATGATGTTTTAGGATGGATTGGCACTTTTTGTTGAGGTCCCGGGGGCCTCGGGGTGATTTCGGATGGCCATCGGGATGAATTTGGACTTGTGAGATTTCTGAAGATTTCTGATATCTGGTATTTCCGCATCTGCGGAAAAGGGGCCGCAGATGCGGTTCCGCAGATGCGAAGTATGGGTCGTAGGTGCGAAGTTGGCCAATTGAAGAATTTCCGCAGAAGCAGATTAGTTCCGCAGGTGCGATATCCGCAGGTGCGAACTTTAACTGCAGAAGCGGTCCGCGCGCTTTAGAGGAGTTCCGTAGGAGCGGATGTTTGACGCATAAGCGGGGTCCGCAGAAGCAGGACTTGAACACAAAAGCGGTCCTGGGCATAATGAAGATCCGCAGAAGCGGAGGTAGAGTGGTAGTCGCAAATGCGGTAAGGCAACCGCAGAAGCGAAAGTGCCTGTTCAGAGAAGGGTTTTAAAAGCTCATTTTGTTTCGCGAGCTAAGGGTTATTTCCGCCATTTTTGATCGACCTTGGGAGCTTTTTGGGAGAAATTGAAGGGGATTTCGACTGGGATTGATTGGAGGCAAGTCCTATGTACTAAAAACACGATTATTATGTGAAATTAACCTTGAAATTTATGGAAATTAAGCCTAAATTGAAGAACTAGGGCTTGAGTTTTTGATATGTCAAATTGGGATTTGATGGGTCATTTGAGCTCGGATTTGGGAGCTTTTGGTATGTATAGACTCGTGGCGAGATAAGGAATCCGATGATGTTGATTTTCTGATTTTTCGAGAAGTGGGCCCGGGGCTCGGGTTTTCCAAATTTCGTGAATTTCGATATTTTTCGATTGTTTTCTGTTGGGTATTGTTCCATTGGCATATTGTGACGTATTCGTTCAGGTTTTGGATAGATTCGACGCGCGTGGTGGCCGAATTGAGGGGCAAAGGCGTCGCGAGCTAGAGATTTCGCCGGTTCGAGGTGAGTAATGATTGTAAATGATATCCTGAGGGTTTGAAACCCCGGATTTGCACATCATAGTGCTATATTGAGGTGACTTGCACGCCGGATAGCGAGCGTGGGGTAGAGCACTGTTGGGGATTGTGACTTGGTCCGTCCCGATTGTTGATTTTACCGCGTATTTGACTGAAACTTATTTGTTATTATCATGATTTGGGCCGATTGCCATATTTGGGCTTCGCGCCAATTATCTGAACCCTTCGGGGATTTTTATCACTGTTTCCTCACTATTTTGATATACTACTTGAACTCAGTCCCGTTGATTATACTGTTTTACAAACTCAGCCGCTTTAACTAAACTTTGAGACTTAAATGATATTTTCACTGTTGTTTGGGCTGAGCACTACTATTTTATTGATGCCCGAGGGGCTTATGATGTTTTCTGGAGTAAGTGAGGCCGGGGGCTATATGTGAGGATATATGTGAGTAATGTGAGGAGGCTTTCAGGCCTCGAGTGTTATGTGAGGAGGCTTTCAGGACTCGAGTGTGATGTGAGGAGGCTTTCAGGCCTTGAGTGTTAGGTGAGGAGGCTTTCAGGCCTCGAGTGTGATGTGAGAAGGCTTTCAGGCCTTATGTTATATGCCACGAGGTGGCTTGATATTGCGCTTGGGCCGTAAGGGGCCCCTCCGGAGTCTGCACCCCCACAGTGAGCGCGGGTACCCATGTGGATGGGGCTGCACGCCGCAGCGAGATATGTGGATCGGGTTGCACGCCGCAGCGAGGTATGGATCGGGCTGCACGCCGCAACGATATGTGGATCGGGCTGCACGCCGCAGCAGTTATTACATGATACTGTTCTGAGAGTGATCTGAGAGAGAGAGCCCGAGGGGCTGAGAGTGTTTCTGAGAGTGAGCCCGAGGGGCTGGTACTGTTTTGAGATATTGCCCGAGGGGCAAACTTTTATGTGCTCGTCTTGCATATTTACTTGCCTTTTTACCTGTTATACTGCGGTATTTGTGCCCAAGGGGCGGATTTTTCTGTGCTTATCAGCACTAACTATTTTGAAATTGTTTCGTAACTGTTGAAAAGCTCTTTTTCAAAAGAGATTTAAACTGATCCAATATATTTCTAAAGATTTCACAGCTTCACTGTTTTCTCAAAGGATTGTACCCTGCTTCTATACAGCATGTTGGTTGCTTTACGTGATTTCTTACTGCTCAGTTGTTATTTACCTTTATTACTCACTGAGTTGGAGTACTCACTTTACTCCCTGCACCTCGTGTACAGCTGCAGGTATTTGTTCACCAGGTAGCGGGTATTGGCTGTTTGGAGGCAGAGCTGTAGTAGTTTAGCGAGGTGACTGCCAGCGTTCGCAGCACCTTTTCTTTCTATGTTATTCATTATTCCTGTTTAGTGTATTTCTAGACTTGTAAATGTAATTACATTCTTATAGATTCTCGTGACTTGTGACACCCCGATTTGGGCTGCGTTGGGTTGTATTTCCGCTAATTAATACTATTAAGTCATATTTAAGCTATTTATTTGTGTTTAACTACTTCTGGAAAGACGAGTTGGGTTAGTTGGTTGGCCTCGTCCTCACGAGAGGCGCCATCACGACCAGTGCGGGGTTTGGGTCGTGACAAGTTGTTAGCTGTTGTGTGGGCCTTTGAAAAATTTCGGGCATACTTGGTAGGAACGAAGGTCATAGTCTATACCGATCATGCAGCAATCAGGTGTCTATTTACAAAAAAGGAATCTAAGGCTAGATTGATGTGCTGGATTTTGTTGCTGCAAGAATTTGATGTAGAAATACGAGATCGAAGGGTGACAGAGAACCAA